TGCTGCTGCTGGTGCTGCTGCTGGTGCTGCTGCTGGTGCTGCTGCTGGTGCTGCTGCTGGTGCTGCTGCTGGTGCTGGTGCTGGTGCTGGTGCTGGTGGTGCTGGTGCTGGTGGTGCTGGTGCTGGTGCTGGTGGTGCTGGTGCTGCTGGTGCTGGTGCTGCTGGTGCTGGTGCTGCTGGTGCTGGTGCTGCTGGTGCTGGTGGTGCTGGTGCTGCTGGCGCTGGTGCTGGTGGTGCTGGTGGTGCTGGTGGTGCTGGTGGTGGTGGTGGTGGTGCTGCTGCTGCTGCTGCTGGTGGTGGTGGTGGTGGATATACCAACCAAATGTCTTGGGCCCAAAACGCATCCGACAGAAAAACAAGTGACTGACTACAAAAACCAGAAATCATTACAAAGCGTAACATTGTTTGTGGGGCCACTAGAACTGAACGCATGCAAGCACACATACTTATATAGGCAATACAGCTAAGGAGTACATAAACGGTCGGCGGGCGTGAAATTACGTGTTCAACAATATGTTGTCCCCAATCGAGTTACAAGTATGATAGCAGAATCTTTGTCAATAGGCTTTTGCACCGTAATCGGACGAGGATGAGAATGGATGAGCCTTTTTTTCAGCTATAAAGAAAGTTGTAAAGCCACGCTGCATCATGAGTAGCATCCGCAAACTCGGATGACGGACACCCGGTTTGGGAATCCCAATTCAGCCTGTACTGCTTCCATGCTTCAGGAACAGCATCGAGACCTGGAATCTTCAACAAGTAGCAAACTGCCAGCTGAGTCAAGCGTGACATCCTGGGAGAAGTTCTGCCAAGCCAGTTAAACATGTCCTGTGTGTAGAGGACGTGTTACGACATGCATATGCGCATGTGCTACATGCGTGCAAGTACAACAAAGTTCACGGGAATTTCAGGCCAAGTACGTATGTGGACAGGTTATGGCCGTACAGTCAAAACCGACGTTAATATCCCAGCCCAACCCCCAAAGCCCGCCGCTCCACCGGCTGGCCGCATTATGTGCCACTCGCAAGGAACTCCCAGTGTGGCGCGCAGAATCGGAGCATTGCGGAACTCAAAGTGTGCATCCGAAAATGGACAAGCCCGGATCATATTGAATTCTGAGTTCTCATCCGAAAACGACGCATTTGCTCGACATACATGTGCGAGTGTCAAGCCGACGTGCAAATTACGTGGCAGGCGCGGTTTTTGGTGCACTTCTGAGAAGCCTCGATTGCGAAGCATGTTTTGACTGACACACGTGATAAAATAGTAACAACAATAATGACAATAGTAATATTCTAATAAAACATAATAAAACTAAACTCGCAGGGCCCTGCTGCTTCGTGTGTGCAAACATGCGCCACTGCTGGCCCACGGAGCCTCAAACAAAGCTTAGCAAGCGTCCCTTCATAACTGCCCCACACCACCCAAGCTGAGTGACGAATCTCCACCTCAACCGTCTCTAACACCGCCCCATCGCTCCCATAGGCTAAGGGCAAGGTCGCGGTAGGTGCGGAAGCAAAGGCCAAACGAAAGGTGCTGAGGGACAAACCAAAACCAAACCTGGCGAGGATGCGAAATGGAACTGAACAATGCAAACAAGGCCCACTGGGCTAGGAAAATTGGCTCGCAGTTAAAGTACTTTTGAGGTCGAAAAAGGATGCAATTGGAAGGCACTGACGAAAGAACTGCATCACGTAGTGGTTTATACAACAGGTTGATGATTTCGAAAACTGTGTTTGTGGGCATTAGGCATCGCCACCCATGTGTTGAGCGAGGCTCACGCGATTCCACCTTTCCTCTGGAAGTTTGATCCCGGCAGCTGGGACCCACTGGGACCCAGGACTTGAAATCTAGCAGCCCCAAAAAAGCAAACCAGGTCAGGAAGCGGTACCACTGCATCCGCTCCGTATCTGTAGGTGCGCTGATGTGTCACATCATGGTCCAGCATGGAGTTGTGCTTCGTCCAGTTAGAGTGGTACACCGTGTAAGGCATCCGTCCCCAGCGATTCGCTATCCCGAAGATGGACTGCGCAAGGGCGTTAGCACCCTCCATGCCAGGATAGAAAGCCTCCGGCCAAGACCCCCGGGGCCAAAAGGATCCCTCTGAATCCAGTCCGGGATGCGAATACTTATATAGGTCACCAACCCCCCAATCCAAGCAGCAGCAGCGGTAGAATTGTAGCGACATTGATCGTATATGATATGTTATAGTCTGATGAGCGATTACAGGGTGCATGCTGGGTCGAATCAACGCGGCCTCAATCAAAGCCACATTCTTCTTGTTCATGAAATCTTCCACTGCCACCATGCCACCATTCAGCAGAAATATCACAGTGGGTTTGCCCAAGGCAATAATATAATTGGCCAGTTGCTGCTGCACAGGAGGCAGGTCTATACGATCCTTGAATGTCATTCAAAATGAAAAGCATGCATGTCAGTTATCTTATCTTGACAGGTTACAACATAATGTAAACGCCGTGTTCAACAAAATAGTTCGACGTTACTCCTAGTTTCCCGGTCGTGCGCTTCTCTCTCCATGAACTTTGGGTCCAGCGTTTCGCGTTCAGATATACCAAGCCCCAGAATGACCACGTCCTCAGCACAGCATGGACATGGAAAAGGGTTGAGTGCAAAGGATTGCCACTGTTGCTCATCCGTGATGGTTCAAGGGATGATGACCCAGAAAGCACCACAAATCAGCTTATGGCTTATGTGGCTGGTGGGCCTTAAGTATATCGCTCCTTAGTCTGCCCACAACAGCAGTATCAACCCACGCTTCTCAGAAATCATTAGCTTCGCAAGCGCCACTAGTCTGTACAGCGTTCTGCAAGGCTCATGAGAACACGAGGAAATCTCAGGCGGTGCTGACGTAAACCACATGGTGTCTAAAATAATTAGCTGTTCGCACCTTTTCTACTCCACATTGCTTCTCTGCTGTCGACTCTTGCTTGCCCTGCAGACCGCTGCTGCAGGAGGGCCCGGGTGGGTGGGCCGCTTGAGCGTTCGTGAACGGCGGTCACAGCTAGTGTCAGCTGTTCGCACCTTTTCTACTCCACATTGCTTCTCTGCTGTCGACTCTTGCTTGCCCTGCAGACCGCTGCTGCGCCAGCTCCCATTGCTTTCCCATCTTTTGGGTCTGTGCCCTTTGAGAAAAAGTAGAACCAAGTAGCCGGGGGCAGGCGACTACCCATCAGCACCTGCAACTTCAGGCTCACTTCAGGAAAAGCTCGGGCCAGATCATGGATCCTGTCTTTCACACGAACTGGTAGTTGGGGAAAAAAGGTCGAGGAAGAAGCTTCTTGGAGGTATATCTCCATTGTGCGAGCGCTGATCCAACGACCTCTCCTTCTGACCAGCTCTGAATCCTCCGTGACCATGAGCAAGTGAGTTGCACCACCTGCTCTCAGGCTACCTAGGTCTAGGGGACGCCCAAGTGGCCCCTGAACCGTCGGCAACCCCAACGCTTCCAACAACTGCTTGAACCTAGTTCTCAAGGCTTGGGGCGACCATGGCCAGAGTCTGGCTGAAGGATGCAAATCCTCATATATACTTACAATCACTCCAACAAGGTCCTGCCAATCTAGCCGTGCCAACTGGTGCCTTGCGGCACGGAAGCGGGTCTTCGGTTCGCCGACCCTCAACATCACTGTCCACAATGCTCCGCCGGTATCAACCGGCAAAACCAGGTCTGAGCGCTTTGCCGCCACCACCTCACCTATCCTGCATATAGCTCCCCAGGAAAGTAGGATTGCACCTGCGACCCGGGGCCAACCCCAAACAATAGCTAGAGTGGTTGCTGCTAGCATGATCTGGTACGGACAGGCAACGTGGTGCTCATAGGGCTCCTCGCGGAGCCAGCTGAAAGCCAGGTCCCAGGCCCCACTAAGAAGCCGACGGACCCCCGGTTGCTGAGCTCCAATGCTGTTTATGGTCTCGGCGTAGTGGCTGTATGGTCAGCCTGAGGTGTACAAATCCATGCCGTACCTTGTCAGCAAATGAACCAGCTGCACCGGCTCCTTTGGCGCTAGGTTCAAAAGCTGTTGCGACAAAACACCACGCTCTCTCAACCAATCTGAAAAACATTGCAGCAACCGGTCCCTGTTTGTTTTTGTGGACTGTTGAACTGGGCGACCAAACTCTAACGGCTTCTCGACGCGGGCCAGAGCCCTGCTTTCATCTGCAGTATGTCGGGGGCGCATGCCATGGCTCAAAGCTAGCAACACCGCTAGGAGCTGCCAGCAAAAAAGAAACCTAGCTAGTCCTCCGCAAAGGCCCTCCCCCGGAAAGACAAGGGTGGAGTCGAAGTCCTGCAAGACCTCACGCAAAGACATGGGGAGCTTGGAGGACCTCAAACGGCTCTGGGGCTGCAGAAAAGAGGAGGGCAAAAATCCATGAGCAAGAAGGATACCCAGGGTCAAGCTGGCCCAATTCGAAGCCCAGCGACGAAGCTTTGGCATGGCAGCCATTGAGTAAAGTCCATTGAAATCCAAGAAATCCATGAAGCAAGAGTCACTCTGTGGAGTTCGAAGGGGCACATCTCGAGTCGGGTCATCTGACGGGTTGAGACGAGTGGGACAAAACAATCCCGCCGCGTACACAGCAAAAGCCTGGCTAAGGGCAAAGATCTTGCGAAGGAGCGGCGCTAGTGCACGAGATGATGACCGCCCTTTTGAGCTTGCGCGCAAAGCCACGTAGGAGTCCAGGAGGAAACAGAAGCGGCCGCCACCTCTTCGGGCCGCCTTCTTCATAGCCTGGAAAAGGCTAGCAAGCTCCAAGATGTTGATATGGGAGTTTCCCTTCCATTTCCACGATGACGACACCTCCCAGCAGGCTTTCTTTGCCAGCTCATTTGTGAGCAAGCCCTCCAAACCTGTAGTCTTGATGTCGACCCTGTTCAATGCTTTTGATTCAGCTCGTAAGTGCTTGTGGAAGAGCTTTGCAAGAGAGGCTGCCAGTGCAGGACAGTAAACTGCCGAACCTTTTGTCAGCGCTCCCTCTATACGAACGTGCTCATGATCTCGGGTGCAAGGATGACAAATTTCATGTGGCTGCATGTTGGCTGTCAAGAACCGGAACTCCTTTTGGAAAGGGCTTCCAAAGGAACATGAGGCTGTGAAAGTCTCCGCAACCCCCTCCAGGCTCAATAGGTAGGCCCACTCTGTCAACCAGGCCATCTTGCTCCTCCGTGGTGTTTCCAGCAGAGCGAAAACTTGTTCATGTAGAGCACACCAAAGTAAACATAGGCAGAAAAAAGCTAAACGATTTCCGACCCATACTTTTGTGCTCTTTTGATTGAATCCTCTTGGGCACTTGTAGGACCTCACCATGGGATGTGCTGCTGCTGAAAAAGTGGTACAAGGCGGCTCCAGCATCAAAGCACGAACTCTTGCTGATTGCACCAAGTACAGCAGCCACTCCAAGGTCCTTGTCTTTGTCATGTCATAGTGTGGCGAGTAGGAGAGGTCGATGATGGGGCCGACTGTATAGCCCAACATTGCCATTTGCTCCGAAACAACCCCACTGCCACCACAGACCTCGATGAAATCAAAGACCTGTGCCAAGGGCCTCTCAACAGGAGGCGGAAGATCTGCTCCGGTCTCAAAGGGGTCGCCAAACTCCTCCAGCATCTCCTCCCAATCCTCCTCCTCAAAGCCCCCATGTGATTTGAGAATGGTCTTCGGGATGCTCTCCAGCAAAACGTGGCCACCTTTGAAGTCTCCGGACTGCCACAGTGCTTCCGCAACTCGCTTGGGGATCCTCGCCTCACACACAGCCCCTTTTGATGTGGATGCATCGGCGCAGAAGATGGTCTGACTCACCTCTGCCTTGATGTTTGAAACAAGCACTGGCAGGAAAACTCCGCACAGGACCAACTCATTGGCTGCCGCCCTTGACAAGGATCTCAGCTTCGGCCTTTCCGCATCGAGCTCTGCAGGCTGGATGACCTTGAAGAGCTGATTGATGAGAGCCATGCTGCTCCGGCGAAAGCAGAAAACTGACACCAATGCACCAACCAACGAACTATGTAGAGCGTCTGTAGTATAGGCAAAATGTGCTGCATTGAGACAGATCCAGCTCAGGGACATTCTTTTTGCTGAAGGTGCACCGACTGGGAGGAGTCCTTCTCTAACCATCTCCGGGCGAGAATCGAGTTCTGCTCCAACCACTGTAGCAAGGGCTTCATCGACCACGTCCTTTGCATCTGAACCAGCAAGCCCTGCATCGGCATATGCCCTCTTTGCTTTGGTGAAAGCTGCAAACGCCCTGCTGGGCTTGTATCCTTGAGGCCTGAGCTCTTCTTCTGGAACAGGAGATATGGTGAAGTAGTCGTCTATGACCAGTCCCTCGTAAAGACCACGGGGCCTGATGAGCGATGACATCTGAAGCCGGTCTTCCCACTTCAACAGGTCATTCTCCTCGAGGAAGCCTGCATGGGCTGCGATGCCATATTCAACCCCAAGGTGATCTCCCTGCAGGACTGACTGGAAGCCTCCAAACACCATTGTTGAGCCAGCCACCCCGAAGTCAGCCGGACGAAGGCCATTAAGCTCATCTCCATGAACATTTCTATCAACTGGCTTCTTTCGGGCCTCTGCTCTTGCAAGGTAGTCCCTGTAGGCACTGAAGCCCACAAAGTCTTCCAACTTGAACGGCGGCCAGAGGAGGTTTGTCCTTGATCTCTCATAGGTGGCCTGCATCTGATGATAATAATCTGAACGATCTGTGATGCAAACCCGTACCCCACAGCCAGCAGGAACAAAGAGCCTCGTAATGAGTGGGCCACAAGGTAGGTCCTGTGAAGGGCCGGGGATCCGTCCTTCACAGGCATTCCGAAGTCGTCTGTCGCCTATCTGGCGATCCCATTGTGGTGATTTGTAAGCATTGAACACCTTGACCTTTTCTTCTGGACCAGGGTGTACTTGAGAAACTGGATGAAGGGCCAGAAGTCCAAGGTCATCCCACCTGCGAAGGAGTCTGTAGACCTCGGCTGGCGTCTCCAACTCAATATTTGGCTTTCCTCGGGTATAGACTGGCTGATCAAGCTCCAATATCTGCGGCTCTAGAAAGCTCATCTGAAACTGTGGAGGCATGTAGTCAGCTGCTTTCCACTGTCCTCGACCTGAGATCTTGAGACGATCGGCCTTCAGACTGGAAAAAGGGCTCAGTTGCGGATGGCCACTGTTGTCAGCTGGGACCGCATGACCTCCATGATCATCTGAATATGGGCCCGAGGAAATACCCAATGCATCGACGGCCTGAGCCAACTCTTGTAGCCGACTAAGGAGTCCCAAATTCTTTCTGCCCGAGGTCGAGACTTGTACTTCAGCACCTCGGTCGTTCGCGCTCAAAAGCAGCCGGAGCTCACGAAGAGCTCTCCTCTGGTGGAGGTTTGGTTGCCTCCGGATCAGGTCCAGTGGAGGGAAGGAATTAGCCATGTAGGTGTAGTTCAGGGCGCTCACCAAAACATGCAGGGCGCGATCAATGGCCTTTTCTCTTCTGCTCTTCTTGGGCTGACCGGGTTCCTCTGCAGCATAGGGAGCGAAGCTCGGCAAAGGCAAAGGAAAAAGAGCGGTAGGAGATGACAGTGGGCCATCTCACAGGTACTTGGAGAAAGCTGTTTTAGCTGCTAGCACCCATCTTGTCAACGACATGCACCAGGTGACAAAAGAGAAGGAAATCGTCTCGATGTCCCTCTTAGCAATATCACATTGCTCGGCCTGGACTGTGAATTCTGGAGGGGGGCTTGCCGAGCCCTTTGGACGGGTCTGGTTCCGATCTGCTCGGCTAAACTGGATTTGCCCCCTGGTAGGCGGTCCGCCAGCTTCCCCGGCACCGCGCGTGGGTCTGTTTCTTAGGAGTCCTGAGCCCCCGGGGTCTGGTCTGCATTCTGCTTCTGCTGCCATGGCTTGCGGCGAGGCTTTGCCTTTGCCTTGGGATCGTTTGATACCGAAGGGGTCTTGGAAGGATGACTCACCTCCTGCTTTTTGTTGTTCAGGATCTCGGTCTCCTTCAGGAATGCCAAGGCCACAGTTGCCCATGACTGAGCCACCAAAGGTGCAAAGGGGCGCCGTGCCCCGGTAGCTGTGGTGTTGCGGTTCATCCAGAGGTTGGAAGGGGGATCGTCCAGAAGGCGAAGCAACCAAGGTAGTTGCCAAGAATCCCCTCCATCCTGATTGGCCTGATCGATCATCACACAGGTAAGGGCTAAATGGTCTTTCACCGCACCCCACTGTCCTCTTGCTGCTGAGTCGTAGACATGGGCCAATGACCACATGATAAGGCCAAGGCTCCGATTCTGGCCAAAACCACCGAACTTCTCGAGGTAAGACAGCATTGAGATGCCCTCCAGGTCGGCCTCGTTCTGTGGGAGTGGAGATGTAGGCGACATACGCCGGCTCATACTTTGAGAGACCCTCAAAAAGAATTGGCCCGAACCCATTGAAAGCTCCCTCTGGAGCTTCTCTCGCCCAACAGCCCCTTTCACTCCCATTGCGCCCGTGGGGCTTGCCAGCTCTTGCATAGGATCGGTACTGCCCACCTGAAAATGTGCCACCACAGCCGCCAGAGCTCGACTTTGCTCCAACAATGCTTCTGCCATCGGAGAGGTAGGTGGAGTCAAAAGTTCCCCATCCAAAGCATGAGGCTCGTCCTCCTTGACCGTCCTGTGCTCTGCAGTAGGAGGAGGCGGGGGCAACAGGGACATCTTCGTCTTTGGGGGGGGGTCCCAACTGTCGTGCCACCTCTGTCAGAGGGATGGTCGGGCTGCCAAGGAGGGCAGAAACGGGCATGCTCGCTCGGGAGGTCAGAATGGGTGTGGCGGGAGCCACTGGCCTGACCGTTGCCTTTGAGCTTGATGAGGCTTTTTCCAATGCCTCTTGCCTGACTGACAGCTTGGTGAGCTGGTCCAGAATCCCGGGAAGTGCACTGCTGATGGTCTCCATCTGGGTGGCCAAAGTGGCCACTGTCTGCTTTTTGGGCTTTGCCTTCTCTTTTTCTCCTGGAGTAATGCCACCTGGCGCTTTTCTGCTGGGCGTAGAGGGTTGAGGCATTGTAGGATCCTCTTCTGCGGCAGAATAAAAAGCCACCCTGTCTGACTGATCCACGGCAATCCAGGACCTGACTTGCTCCAGAAGTCGAGGCAAAGCCGGCAAAACTGTTGCATCCCACTCGTAGAAGAGCACCGGGTTCAGACCTGGTCTGTCCTGCACAGGAAGCTCGCTGAACAAATGAGCGGCAGCTGGCAGGCTCATATCCACCACCAAAACACCTATGGTCTCCTCCACGTCTTCCCAAACTCCTTCCGATGTCATGGCCACTGCTTGGACAAAAAGGCCGGTATAGGGTCCAATGAGAGGTTCTTCGGCTCCCACTGGCAATGAATTGGCTTGCAAAACCTCCTCCTCGACTGCCGCTGATGGCAGAGCAACCAAAAGGCCTCCGGGCCTCCTCACCAAAGCGTGACATAGGGTTTCCTCTGCAACCAAAAGGCCTCCCCCTCCATGTTCCCAATGAAAAAGAAGAACTGCAGAGCCACCCTCTTCTACCACGTGTTGAGGTCCTAGTTCCATTTGTGCTGTGAGGGGTAGTCGACACCGGCCGCCTCACAATAGATCCGTGCCTCCGCCTGAGAGGGGAAGCCGCGGCACACCACTGACGGTGAATCCACCAGTCGTCCAACCAGCTTGTGCAAGTCGGAGTAGGTAGATACCCTTGTTGGTGATTCAAGTCCTGGAGCTCGTAGCACCACGTAGACTGCTGGTGACAGATCGATGGCGAAGGAAGCTCGAGGTTTTGGGACACGACCCTCGAGAGTATGACGAGCCCAAATGCCAGCCTCCCAGGCACGTTCTGCCCGATATTGCTTGCCGTACTGACCACCGTGAAGGGCCTTACAGCTAGCCACAAGTTGATGAGGACAAGGGACCAACTGAGCAATGAGGGCGTCGTAGTCGCCGTAGGCAATCCCCCGATAGGGATCAAGAGATGGCCTGGCCGGGTCGACCGAAGCTGAAGCCGATGAAGACGGGTCCTCCTCCGGCACCTTCTCAACCTTCTCCCAAGACCCTGCCTCACTGACAGGTGGAGCCTCCTTCTGGCCTTTTTCTTGCACTGCCAAGGTCAGCCGATCCAAAGCCTGAACCAAATCAGTAAGATCAGCTTTCTTCTCGCTCATGCAATCCCTGCCGATAGCCCTCCAGCCTCCGCCGAGCTTGAACAGCAGCGGAGCGAACCACCAAGGAAGGTGGGGATGAAGCGATCGAAGTTGGGGAGGATGAAGCAAAGAGCCAAATCCAAAAGCAGGAGGAGAGAATGACCCCGAGCAGGAAGCCAAGAAGGAGTGCAAATGCCACCAGGGAGTAGGAAGGTTGGTGACAATGCACAGGGCACTGCAACCCCCAAAAGCCGGTCCTGAGGGCCTCACGGAGGACAAGACCTGCCTGGGCCAGACCTTCGACCCACATCCGCTTGAGCGTTCGTGAACGGCGGTCACAGCTAGTGTCATGTGGTACAGTAACTAGAAGTATCATCAAGATTGGAGAACGTCGGGTCCCACCATCATCTCATGATGAACCTAAATATTGTTCAAGGACCCACCAAAAGTTCCCATCCATGGGGTGAGATGACTGTCCCTCCGCTTTTGGATTCGACAAACTTGGTGTGGTTGACCAGCCGACACATCAAACAGACCCATCACTCTTTGCACCAATCCCTGCACCTTAAAATGCACTTTGCCAAGCGGCCGCAAGCTTGGCTGCTGCCAATGCTTGCTGGAAGCCTCCTGGAAGTTCATCGGACAAATCGCAGCCCCTGACCTGATCTGCCCATCGTGGTCAGCCTTCAAATTGGTGTTGTAAGCGGCTGACATGATCACCCAGCTGTCTACCATTTCACTTACAGCACCACTGCATAGTGGCAAACCCTTACTGGGAGCAAGGACGCTACTAGGAGCAAAGGGCATTTCTACTAGGAACAAGAACGCTAGCGGCTCCTGGCATCGCTACTAGGAGCAAGGACGCTACTAGGGGCGCTCCTGGCCTTGCTACAAATGTTCGGCCCAAAAACACTGAAACATCGTGGGGCTCACCGCCAAGTTGAGCGGCCCCCCATCCTCATATTGTTGAAGAGATGCATAGGAGGGGTGTGAGGAGTTTAAATCTAATCAACATGCAGCTCCAAGGTGCATAGGTGGTCGTCCCATTTTTGCCATTTGTCTCCTGAATGGCTTGGTATGGTGTCCTCACGCAGTAGAACTGCCCAGCATCGGCCGCCTCCGCCTGCCATTCCCCTGCATGTGCAGAAGGACTTGGAGGGCACACGACGCCGGTGTCCACTTGGATCAAATCCATGGAGGCATTGCCATGGGGTCCCAAGACTGCCTCAGATGGGTTGGGCTTATGGTGTGCTAAGCTGTAAGGACTTTGCAACCTCACAATGTTAGCGAATGCCGGGGGCCAACTTGACTGCCGACCCTGTCTACCTGAACGCCGACGTCTTCTTCCAGCGGTCTAGTGATCTAAGGCAAATCGTCGTCCAGGTGCCAATCGCTGCCCTGCTTTGAGCGGCAAAATTCCAGGGTTGCTGATCAACACCAGCGATTCAAGCGCTGCAATGAGATTGAGCTCCTTGGCTTCATCAGTTCCAATGTCACCTGCCAGGTGACATGGGTCAGCAACTGAGGACGATCAGCAAGGTGCTTAGGGGCAGCATGAAGCAGAATGAAGCCTGAACTCCCTGATGGATGCGTAGGACCTTGGCACCTTGTTTAAACATCTCTTGTTTAAAGCAAAGTGGGAATTTGTGGGAACCCCCACGGCCAAGGCGAAGCCCTAGCCCTATGCCATGCCACGCCCACCTTGGCCCAGCATCCAGTAAGGCTGGTCCTTGATGGGATCAAAGAGCCCCAGCTCAAAGCGGAGCCGCAAGGTGTTGAACAGTGCACCTTGTGCCCAAACGTTTCGCAGGTGGTATCATCCAGCAACATGTCCTCAAACTATCCACTCGTGAGCCTGGCACCTACCATGTTTCTGAGGATGTTGGTGGCCTCTAGACCCCCAAAAAGGAATGTCAATGACAATCATAAACCTACGCAACACCGCTAAGCCTAGGCACGATTAATGTCTTCCATGGAACAATGGCCTGCTTTCACTCCTTCCAAAAGATGATCATAGTAGGTGTTGCCGCTGTCAATGTCCTGAGTGAGCGCAAAAGTTCGGACCAAATGCTTTCTTCCAGACCGCCTATAACTGCAAAGTTGATGAAGGTCATGCGCAAACAATCATGGCTAAACTGAAAAAAACAAAAACATGCAAAGAGACTGTAGGCTTCCCTAAGAATCTAAGAACCAAATCAATCTAGCGAGGGTTCTTCAAGGACCCAAGAATCTGCGTCCACTCCATTTCCTGGCTCCTTCCTACCGTACTTAGGCCCTACTTCCCGTCTCCCCATCTTAATTAGCAGTCTACCCCACAACAAAAACGTAAAAATTTGACATACTGTACCAATCAAAGCAATCACAAACAAGGAACGCATTGCCCATGCTTCAGTGCCAAACAGCTGGCCTCCGCAGCCGACTTCACATAGTGATGCCGTCGCCAGGCATCGCTGACCGCATCGGAGTCGCTGGTGACATAGCCGTCGAAGCCCCAGGCGGCGCGAGCGGCTTTCATCAAGGGATCCAAGCAGACCGGGATTCCATTAACCTAACCGAGACGATATGCAGAGCAAATACATGCCAGGATAAGCTCTCAGCAGAGCTGCGGAGCTACCAGAAGAGCTGTGTGCGACATGGGGCAACCACCAAATCTGCTTATATCATCTTATATCTGCTTCATGTTAGAGGTAGTATATAGAAAGCCAAATCATATCTTCCGGCTCGGCATAGAACATCCCAGCTCTCAAGATTAGAACACAAAAGGAAAGGCTCAAGACCACCCGCCAAAAATCTGTGGTGACAGATGATGAGGATGAAATCACGGTGGTGGCTCAAACAGTAGAAATTCAAATACTCAGTTTGCTCGCAGGAACACTGTTGCTGCTCAGCCATGACTTGTTCTGGTGGTTTATCATTGATGCAGGTCAGGAATCCCAAACACATCAAACTCAGCCACCTTAAAGCAAATGGTGCCATCGAACTCATATGTCAGTTGTATATAGAATAAGCAGCGATACATAATATATATATATACCCATGTCCCATCAATTCCCGTCATATAGGGGATAGTGCCATCACTGTGGAGGCATGCCTCTGTTCTCTCTTTGATCTAGAAATCGGTAAACCTTCTCACATCCCCACGTTGCCAAGAATGTGAGGAATCGGCTTATCATAAGCTGTTCGCCAAGTTCTGGATTTGATCCTTTCTGCTTCACAGCTACCCGGCTACCCCACATCCCAAAGCTCGCTCCTTGAGAGGTCACAGGTCTTCTAAGGTGCATTTCCCTTGTTGAGGCCTTGATTGCATAAAGCCGCTCGATTTTTGTCAGACCCATCGGCAGGAGCGAACATTCTAGACGAGGCCACCGAGTTGTAGCTGCACATCACGCCCTTAGCCTTGCCAAGCTTGATGGAAGCCCTGAAGGCTGGCCAGTAGTAGTCAGCAAGCAAGTACTTGGAGATGTTTGCCTCGGGGTGCACGAACCCAGCATAAGGCAAGATTGGGTGGCAAGTAACCATGGTCGTATGATCAGAAACTGAAGTGCTGACTGACATGTCGTAGTCTTAGCAAACATGCTTATTTGTTTCCTCTCACGCCGGCAGAGAATCCACGCATCCCACTTGAGTCACGAACTACAGTTTGTCATGGCTACGAGGCGGTGATTGCTAGTAGCGGTATCTGACACTGACACAGGCAGTGTTGGATGACCACACTGGAAATTCATTGGATAAGCTAGGTGCGTCATGTCCTGACTCAGTGACATTTGTTTACCATCATTTGAAAGAGTCAACCTTACCAACACAAACGAACGCTGTCATTTACCTTGGGACAAGCAGGGTAACCATTTGCCAATCACTAAACGCCAAAGCACGCTGAAATTATGCCGGTCGTAGCCTTGATCCGCTGCAGCACCACCTTCCAAGGAATTCGCATCAAAGTGTTTGATGGTCACTGCCACCTGCGAGCCGCAGGCCAAAAGGCAACGGATGGTTCGTACCAATAACCTTGTTTTACAAATGTGTACAGACGCTGCGTGGCCAAATCTTCAGCGTTTTGGTTTCTATGGTCAAAGAAAGTTTAGTTAAGAAAAACCCGTGGTTGGGAACAGTCAAAAAGTGAGGGAATAGTAAACGCGGGCAATAAGTTAAGTCAACGAGGTAGCGTAAACAACTTGCTAAGTTCACGAGTTAACATAGACAGTAGCTAAGCGAAGAGCAAGCTAAGTCCACGAGTTAGCTAAGTTCAAGAGGTCGTGTCCAGAAGTGGCTAAGTTCAAGAGTTAGCGTAGACTAGCTGAGTGAAGAGTTATGAAGAGTTGTATAGTTGGCTAAGCCCACAAGGTGGAAGTTGCCAAAGTGTGCACGGTCTTCGAAAATCAAGGCGGAAGCTTCCAAGGTGTGTAGCTATCGTCAAGACAGAATCAAGGTGGAAGTAACTGTCGTCGAAAATCGAGGTGAGTGTGAACGGTTGAATGTAAGGCGTTGCGCGAATCCCAGGTTGTGAAAGCTAGCTGTTCGGGCGCGTGCTGCAGGCTGGGCATGACTTTCGTTGCAAGATGGAAGCTGCCAGAGTGCAACTGTCTTCGAAGATCACAGTGGAAGTGGCCAAGGTGTGTGATGCGGTTGAAAAACCATGTGGAAATTGCCAATGTGTGTGTATAGCTGTCATCGAAAATCAAGGTACTAGTTGCGAAAGTGTGAGAGGTCGCCGAAATCAAGGTGGAAGTGGGCAAAGCGTGTAACTGTCGTCAAAAAGCAGGGGGGGTTCTGGGCTCAGAACTGGCAAGTCTGTAGTACAAATGCAACGCGGGAAGCAGCTCCTGGTATTCTGATTAGAACTGGCAACTTTGAGCCAAGTGTGGTAGTTCTGCAACGCAGAAATGGTGAAATGACGTCCGTGAAAATTGGCGCGGCCGTGGTGGAAGGTGCGTTGTCCTTTCTCTGTGCCATTGGGGAAGCACGTGTGTGTAAATGCGGCGTGTCGCTGGTGAGTGGGATGATTGGTGGTGCCAACAGCGCTTGGTGTCACGCGATTGCCTCCAAGGGGCTTGGTTGACCACACATGCATTCAGCGCAAAACGATGAACCTCTTCCTATAGTTGTCCTTTTTCAACTTCAGCCCTTGGCTTGCCAAGATTACTTTTATGCTTTCTTGCAGGTACCGTACGAGTACGTGCAAGTTGAAACAGCAGGAAAAGCACTAGACGTGAAGTAAGCCTCTGAGACCACTGGAAGTAGTGGACAACATACGTACAAATGATGAAATACAATACAATGTCTTAGAGCAGGAAACCCGCACTACTAACCATGACTTGAATTCTTTGGTCCGGTGGTTGGCCGTGGGACTTTCTTCCGAGGCAAAGGAGAGAGGACATACGGGAAGGGACTGTTGAACAACTTCTCACATCGTCCAACCAATGAGACCATCAAATACATCCTTGCCTGAATGTAGCGTTGATCTTCACCCTCTTGGAGGCCTTTGGTCCACGCCACTCCCAGCTGACCCATCAGAAATGGATCTTCAGTCCCTCCTTCGCCTGAAGGCCAGCAAGGCTCGGATTATCATCCTATGTGGATGTACACAGGCGGCTAACACCCCATGACGGGACTCACTAGCCACATTGGAAGGAACTTATTAGACAGGATGTTGTGCGACCCCAATTCTGGAATGTATCGACCTACGAATTGATGCATTCTCAGGGTTGAACCGTTTGAAAATGATTGATGGGCGGTGCTTTCGGGATTCTTGGACCAGCAACTTCATCGACACAAAGAGCTGCAACAGCAAACGAGTCTAACCGAGTCAAGTTCCAACATCTCCCAACTGGTGCAGTCAAGCAACCGTGGCGTCCCCAGCGTGGATCTCGATTGATGTTCGCCACGGGACCCCAACAGTCTAGACCCATGCCATTCCTTAGTAATTTCAGGCGGTTACCACCTTGGATGGATGAAGGGTGTTGAGTAGCGGGCTGATTTCGGTGGTCCATGACCAGGCGTTTACACTGCCCTTCCAGAAAATGTGCAGTAAGAACAAGGCTATGTTTGACAATTCTGCAACCTGTCCAAACCTATGTTCGACCATTTTACTCACCAGAATCGCAATTTTGCCAGCAAGGACCTGCTTCATTCCACTGAATGGAAGGCAGTCCACCGTGGGTGTTTGGTGCATGTTGTTCTCTCAGTGTTCAACGTGAAAGATGCTTGTTGCAGACCCAGAAGGCAGTCTTTTTACGCAGATTCCATCTCTCTCTCTCTCTCTCTCTATCTCTCTCTCTCTCTTTCTACCGCGTTGATATGCCTTTTCAAAGCACATGTTGCATACTGTCCTATATAATATATACATCTGCACTGCTCAATTAATGCAACCATATCTTTGCAGAAACATTACATTGCACTTCCCAAGTCAACTTCTGGCTGGTCAGAAGCATATCAATGCATAACTGTGTGGTTCGAGAGCGCAAGCGTGCGTCATGTGGTGCTTCCAAAGGCACAACTCTGAATGTCCAAAACTTCAGATGGGTGCTGTCAGATAATGATATGCACCTATGCATTTTGATTGTACAAGTTTGTGTTTTCAGAAGCACGCTGGTCTATCGACGGGAAAAGATCTGTCCTTTCACAAACATGCTGCTGTGCGTTTCAGAAGTTCATCTGTGTATTTTTGAGCAATACAAAGGCCTCAGCGGCCTCATCCCAGATATATATATATATATATCAAGTTGAACTTCCACAGTGAAACTCCGTCTTTTCAAACACATACCTCTGTGCATTTGCAGAAACTCGACGTTGCGTTGCATTTCCAAAGTCAAAATGTTGCTTTCCAAAAGCATTCAAAATGTTATTTGTGGATTTCGGGCAGAGAAACCAGGAATCCGACGCACAGGTTGCCAACGGGGAGCCAAGAAGGAAGTGGGGTAATCATCTGGTGCCAGTGAAGAAAAAAGAAAGGAGACAAGTGGGGAAATCGCAACAGGTTGCCAGTGGCGAGACGAGGAGAAGACCAGTCTGGTAATCATGTTGTGAACTGGGGAAGTCATGCTGTGACCACAGGGGACACATGAATAAACATGTCGTGACAGGTTAGAGTGGGGATCGCAGAAGGTATGGAACAGCATTTCATGGTGTGAACCATGGCCATTTAGGCTAGCCTGCTCATACATGCGCATTATGCCAGATCCCTGGCCAAAAACGCTGCCAGACCTTCCAGGTCTGCAGCTTCAGGGCCGTCCTCCGCATCCAAAAAAATCAGCCCAGCATCCAAAAGAGCCGTTGACTAAGGGAGACAACACAGAATCATCTAAGCCCAAAGCGGCATGGGAGACAAAGGAAGAAAAAGAAGACAGAGCAACATCATTTCAGCCCAGCATCGACAAAGGGGAACAAACAAAGCAGAAACATTTCAGCCCAGCATCCAAGAAGTCATGCGAGACAGCAAGAGACAAAGCAACTCGTTTCTATGCAAGAATTGAGAACCCCTCACAGCAAAGCTGTTTGTGAAGAGCAACTGTACTCGCTCACGCTCTTTTTTCCACTTGAGCCAATGCAACGAGTGCATACCCGATTGACCTCTGGTTTCTGGTGTCGGGTGACTGTCAGTAAATGGATCTGTGGATCTTGTGATATACAGGATGATCCGTCCATTCCTCTCCAAAAGCACTGCCAAAAATAGCTTCAAATGCTACAGCGTGGCCTTTGGTTCACTAGTCTTTACATATGGAGAACTGTCGAGCTCGGCTCTGACAGAGTACTTATGGTGTACTGATTCCCAGCAACAAGTCTTCAGCATACACTAGAAGCGTACACTGCAAGATGTCATGTAGCACGGATGGAGCTTCACACCCCCCCATGCTGAACGGCTGTTGCTTAAAAGAATTCTCTTCCACAGCTCATCGGAACATCTAAATCTGCATTCCAATGATCGAAAACAATCAAGGAACTAGGACCGGAATACTGTGGATCTCAACCAAAAACTTGAAACACTTCGAAATTTCTCTCTCCAGCTTCGAATCTCACCCACGTGGCTTCGACTCATAGCAATTCGCACACACTCGATATTTCACCAAGGTGTCCGACTGCCGAAAAGCGCAGTATGGACCAATGTGCAAGAATCGCTCTTGTGAACCTTCTCTCGGAAAATCGCCATACAACTGGCGTCCAGATTCCACAAGATCAAAATTGATACACTCGCAGGTCTTGTACTCAAGAAATCGGCTTCGACGAACATCGGCTCGTGCCAAATGGTGGCACGTGGAGAAATGCACCACTTCCCTTCTGCTAAAGGCGGTCATCACAGTTCCTGCTGAACTTCGACGCGGTGCAACAATCCCTTGAGCATCAACCCTGGATCCGGTATCATTTTGTGGACCTCTAGGTGGATCACTTGAACTCACTCCCGCAACATTGTCCAACCTCTCTGGATGGTCTGGAGATTGATCTGCTGTACGCACATCATCTGCTAAGAGATGGAACAAATCATCTTCTGCAACATAGGGTTCACCCAGGTTCCGAGCTTCTCTTGCAGAGGTACCCGAATCCGGAGTGTCGGACATGGCTAAGCAAAAGATGAAGATTGGTTCAACTTAGTTGAATCAAGAAAAATCTGTGCTTGCAAGCTAAAAGTGATACATTCTTGGATATCCGTCTTGAAACACGTGAGATCTCATTTAAATCTTCATGAAGTTCCTGGCAAACCTTAGTGCGAAACGATAAGGATATAAACCAAGACTCTTCGAATCCTGATGATTCAGGGGCGCATGCTTGAAACATTTACACACCGGCATCTTCTTGTTGGCCAACTCATCATGACTGCTCATGATCCTATACTCGTGCTTCGCTCGAACCTCTTCTGTCGAGAACGCACATCTCGCTACCACGATCTCATGCCTCAGACCTTGACGTTCCACAAACAACTCAATCTCTTGCTCTTTCCAGTATCTACAACTCTTCGAAAGCTCCAACGCCCTGACATGTCCCTCTTGGAAAATTGATTCAACATCATGGAGAATTGGGACAAACTCGGACCAATGGCGTTCATAGAGACTCTTCCCATTCGAACAGAGCTGCAACATAGGACTTCCACCAGTACACGGTGGTGATCCCCAAGCAAGGATGGTCACTAAATTCCCGATCTGCTGCATCCAATCACAAGTCATCTTACACACATGTGATAAAGGGGTATCCAAGGTGATTGAAACAACTCTCAACTTAGGAAACTTGTTTTCAATCTGGGTAAAACCGGCTCTGCCACTAGTACAAACATCCACTATCACGTGTGTGCATTGACCCATATGGATGGCTGATGCAATCTGTATCAACCTCTTTCGGAACGACTGAAGGCATCGTGTAGCCGCCTCTACGGGCAACACCTCTACGGGCAACACCTCTGTGGGCAACACCTCTCTGGGCAACACCTCTAAGGGCAACACCTCTACGGGCACCAACTTCTTCGCGAAGTCCAGCTCTAGCTTGCTAGCCAGCTCAGAGCCCACCTGATCATCGTCAGGCACGTCCGATTCCGAATCGAACATCACCGTCCTCTCACGGGACACATCCGCCTGAACCTCATGTTCGGCACGTTCACCTCGTGAACTACTCAATCCCTCTGGATCCGAAACCCTAGGTTTCCGTTTCGAAGCTTGCTTCGAACACTCCAACTGCCAACCCTCTGGCGGGTCAACATCTACAATCCCTAAATTCTCTGCACGCCGAAAATGCGCTTCCTTGGGAAGGATCTTGGTGCAAAGATCTGCAACACAATCTGCTGTACCTACCCAGTTCAAGATAACAACACCGTTGTTGACCAACTCCTGTACATAGCAAACCGACAACGACAAGTGACGGACTCTTCTGCTCAATCCATCATTCTTCATGACTGCTAGACACGATTCCGAATCGCTCAACACATGAATTGGCTGGTAGTCCAAACTGCTACTTCCAACCACATCGAACTCCCAATTTGCTTTGGTGTTCACCATTTCTTCCAAGTCATGAACTCTATCGAATCTGCTCACAAACTCAACAAGGTGTCGAATCCCTATGGCTTCTTTTACCATTGTACACAAGGAGATGACTTCTGCTTCGCATGATGACAAAGTCACACATCCCTGAACTCGTGAAACTGCCTTCAACAGGCATCCATGCCAATAGATGGCTCCCCCGGTCGTGGATTTTCGCTTTTCCATGTCATTTGGACCCCAAGAAGCATCCGAAACAACTAGGAGCCCTTCCTGATTTGGACAAGTCACTGCCATGACGTACTCAGTCGGAAACACATGCCATGAGTGACAAATTGCACGAACAAAACGAAGGTATTTCCTCAAAGCATTTTCATGATGCTGGTTTGGTTCTCCTTGGCCAATCGCCAAGAGACTGATGAATCTCCCTTGGTCTGGTCTCGACTGGCCCCACCAGGCAACACGTCCCAGTATCCTTCGATAACGTTGTGCTCCTTCAGGACTCAACTTCTCAACCTCATCAGGTTTCTTACTGATCTTGCCTAAGTCGATCAGGAGATCTGGCGGAATGGTGGTTGGCTTCACATCGAACTCTTGGAAAACCGTCTCAAGATACGATGGATGAACTCTCACTTGGATGTTGGACGAAAATGGCAATCTACGAACAACCCTTCCAAGAAACGTAATGGAACCTCCCTCGGTCTTCGAGTTACCGATTACTCCTGTGGATTTCACCTTCAACTTAGAACCCAAGGTATCCTTGATTTCTTGGATTCCTTCTTTGCTAGAGGCCCCAATCAGCAAATCATCCACGTAGATCAAGATGACTCCAAAAGCTCTACTTTCTTTCAACTGTCCGCACAGGATGGTGGGTTCAGATGGCGAACTGATCAAACCAATCTCCTTCAACTCATTGGAACAAGTCAACAACCAAGCTTTTGCTGCTGATCGAAGGCCGTT